TGCCTGCCTGGCACACATACTTCCAAATACCCACCTCCGAAGCGGTTGGCGCTAGACCCGGAGCAGCGGGTATCCTTGGTGCCACTGGTTGCTGCGATGCCGTGGAGGGATACATAGGGACGTACACAGAGGGATCGAGTTGGAGAGGGCTTGTACATGTTTTCATGTGAGAATAGGGACACCGGAGCGTGAATCAATACCCGAGAGGCTTCGATATACTACTTGTACGACGTCCCTTTCGCTACAGCCGCCCAAAATCCACCGAATACCCACCTCCGAAGTGCTTGGCGCCAGAACCGGAGCAGCGGGTGTCCCGGGTGCCACTGGTTGCTGCGATGCCGTGGAGTGATCAAGAGGGACAAATGCCGGAGCATGTAGTTGGTGAAGGCTTGGACATGCTTTCATGTGAGAATTGGGACACCGTAGCCTGAACCAATGCCCGATATGGTTGGATTTGGAACTTCTACCACGTCCGCCCGTCTAGCACACACATAAAACAACTACCCACCTCCGAAGAGGTTGGCGCCAGAACCGGAGCACACGGGTATCCCGGGTGCCACTGGTTGCTGCGATGCCGTTGATGGACCAACAGGGACGAACATAGAGGGATCGAGTTGGAGAGGGCTTGGACATGTTTTCATGTGAGAATAGGGACACCGTAGCCTGAATCAATGCCCGATATGGTTGATTTGGTACTTCTACCACGCCCTCCTGTCTAGCCCGCATAACACCAAACACACACCTCCGGAGCGGTTGGCGCCAGAACCGGAGCCGCGGGTGTCCTGGATGCCACTGGTTGCTGCAATGCCGTGGAGGGATCAAGAGGGACGAACGCCCGGGGATGGAGTTGGAGAGGGCTTCTGCATGTTTTGAGATGAGAATAGGGACACCGTAGCCTGAACCAATGCCCGATATGTTTTGATTTCGTACTTCCACCACGTCCCACTCTCTACAGTAGCCCTAAAATCACCGAATACCCACCACCAAAGCGGTTGGCGCCAGAACCGGAGCAGCGGGTGTCCCGGGTGCCACTGGTTGCTGCGATGCCGTTGAGGGACCAAGAGGGACGAACATAGAGGGATCGAGTTGGAGAGGGCCTGGACATGTTTTTATATGAGAACAGGGGCACCGCACCCTGACCCTATTCCCGGTATGGTTGATTTAATACTTCTACCACGTCCCGCTGTCTAGCCCCCAATAAAACAAATACCCACCTCCGAAGTGCTTGGCGCCAGAACCGGGGCAGCGGGTATCCCGGGTGCCACTGGTTGCTGCA